ATATAGATAGATATAGATATAGATATATAGAGATAGATGGATGGATGGATGGATGGATGGATGGATGGATGGATGGATGGATGGATGGATAGATAGATAGATAGATAGGGCAAAAAAAGGTAGAAATAAATGGTTTAAAGGAAAGGGATAATTCTATTGGGAAGTAAAAAAAAGCAGGATCGGTACAATATGCATATTATCAGGCAAGCGAGAGAAGAATGAGAAACAAAATAGATTAAAACCCATAAGGTGGGCAGGCTCTATCTTCAGGAAGGATATGTCACTTATATTCTTCACTGATGATGTGGGTGTGGTTATTTGTACTTCGCCTCATGCTCTTGCTTTAAATAAGTAATAACGGGATTTGATTCACAGATAATTTACTGAGGAGGAACCGCATATCTCCCCATTATGCTTATACCATTTTTAATGTACTCATTGCAGTTAGCAATGTTGTGGCCATACATAAGGATTTGGAAAACTCAACCAAACATAAAACTAGTATATGGTGGTGGTGGTGATGGAAATATTGTAGTATTTTACTGCGGTGCAAAAATGATGAATGTGGTCTTTATAATATGCTACAAGCTTAGGATAAGAATCACAGTAATAGATTTTGTAGATTGGATTACAAATCAAGTTTCACTGGCACACTATTTTTTTTCCCAAGCAATTCTGTGCTACTTCCTTAGCTATGCACAGTGTGAACCCGAACAGAAGCAATAATATTTCAATATACTTTACTCCTCTGCATGTCTTGTAAAAGTGTCCGACCAGTGTGGAATGACTGCCCTCTTAGATTGATTAAATTTTATTTGCAATTTGGTGTGTAGAAAGTATATGCTGAAGGCAGATGTTGTAGATCCTCATGGAAAAATAGATCTGGGTTTTTTTAATGCATTGTAGAAGAGTTACACTAAATATTCAAAACTATCATAAAATATGCATGAGACTGATAAATTTGTGAAGTGCTTGGTGCTCTCTGAGCATGGTTGTCCCACCTACACTGACTAGTACTGTATTTTTTGCTCTATAAGATGCTCCAGACCATAAGACACATCTACCCTTTTGGGGTGGAAAACAAGAAAGAAAATCTACCTCCCAGCATCCCTCAATATTCATCTGGCTAGCGTCCTTGCAGCAAACAAGCCCGGTCAGCTTCAGCACATTATCGCAGCCTGATTTAGCACGAGCAGCTGATTGGTGGTTGGATTGGCCTCCCGGAATACCGCCGATCAGCTGCTACAGGCTGTGGGGATCATCACCTCCTGGAAAGGGATGGAAACAGGATGCATGGAGGTCAAAAGTGGGGTATGCAGAGGCCAAAAACGGCCGAAGGGTGGGGGGCGGGGTTTCCGCAACATTCGCTTTATAAGATGCACAAACATTTCCACCCACTTGGGGCGGGAGTGCGTCTTAAGACTGAAAAATATGGTGTATAAACAGAGCACCCTCCCATTCCTTTCTACCACTGATGATATTATCTAATTTGGTAATGAAATGTCTGCAAAGAAAACAGCCAAGCCCAGATAGCACCAAGGTCTCCACAGTTCAACCCTGAGCAACAAATATTCTTTTTATTGATAGATTTGGCTGCATATAACTATTCTAATTCCTTTTTAGAATCTACTTTATGAAAGTCAATATATGTGACAATATATGATAAATGTTTTTTTTCTCCCCTCTTTTCATTAAGGGAGTAACTATTCCCAGTCAGAGGCGCTATGTATATTATTATAGCTACCTGTTAAAGAATCATCTGGATTACAGACCAGTAGCACTGTTGTTTCATAAAATGATGTTTGAAACAATTCCAATGTTCAGTGGCGGCACTTGCAGTAAGTAACATTTTTAAGCAGATATATATATACTATGTGGAATTAATGCAATGTTTGTATATTATTTACTAAAAATTGAAATATATATCAGGTACTATAAAATAATTCCAACCTTCTCAAGACGAATATTAAAAAGCCACTAGTTTGATTTACCTATTAAATGTTTTATTTCATTTTTCATTTTCATTTCATACAATCACATATATACTGTGCATGATTGAGGCCATATAACATTGAGCAATAAACACAACCCTCCTTGTATTCCCCAAAATACTAAACCAACATAGCGCTTCAACCCTCCATACACCCTTTCTTTCTCCCCCCCTCCAACTTTCCTTTCTCCCCTCCAACATTCCCCTCTTCTACTTCCCCTCCCCCTCTAACGCTCCTTTCTCCCCCTCCCTTCCATCTCACCCTCCTTCCATTCCCCTCTCGCTCCCTCTCTACCCCTCTCTCTTCTTTCCCTCTACTCCTCGCTTCGGTGTATTTCTACTATTCATCGATATATTCAGCTTCTTATTTTATACTAAAAATTTAAAAAAAAAGGCAACAGTATACAAGTGCATTCATGTTGTTTTAAAAACTGGCACAAACTATATTTCCCACCTCCCCCCTATGATCCCACCTCCCTTCCCCCCTTCCGACTTCCCAGAGCCCGAACCCGGTATAGCTTTTTATCAAACACAGTCTAGAATGTATTAAAACCAAGTAAGTTAAAAGAAAAAAAAAGGTAATTAAAAAAAAAAAACAGGGAAAAGTTTGATTTAAATAACCTTCCACATTCTTGGAATATGTATTTCTTAGACTTTTCATCCCTCACTTTTTTTTTCCTGCTCAGCTTTTTTCCTTTACCCTCTTTCCCCTTCACCTAATTCATTTTCACCCTAATTCATAGATAACGTCTCCTTACTTTGATTTTTCCGTATTTTCCAGTAGGTGAGATTCCATAGTTCAATTTGATTCTTCTGTAACTTTTGCCCTAGCATTTCCGTTTGCCCTGCTAAATATCCTACACAATTGAATCAGGGTATATCGTGAATATGATCCCAACGTACCAGTAAATGTATCATAAGGTTGTGTAAAAGAATATTGGGAATTCAGCCAGCCTGTCTTGGGTTGTTCACTGCAGATGCACAAACAGCACCAGTGATAGAAATTTGTTATGCTTCTCCTGGTTGAACATAACTCATTTTAATATGGCAACATAACTGTCCACAATCCTTATTTATTTAAATATAGTATAGTATAATAATACAATACATGCCATGACATAACATGTAATATTTATATAAAGGTTGCTTCTTAAGTCACAAGCTTTACAAAATGCTTTCTAGATTTCATTCAATTATAGCTTCCCCTTGATTTTGCTACATCTATTGGAACAGATAATTAGTGTAATAAACTTTTTAAAAACAAAAAAATCAATAGTTAAATTGCTATGTACAGGGAGTCCTCGGCTTACAACAGTTAGTTTAGTGACTGTTCAAAGTTGCAACAGCGCTGAAAAAAGTGACAAGTCCATTTTTCACACTTACAACCGTTGTAATCCTATGGTCACATGATCAAAAAAACCAGATATTTGGCAACTACTCATATTTATGACGGTTGCAGTGTCCTGGGTCATGTGATTCCCTTTTGTGACCTTCTGATAAGCAGAGTCAATGAGATTCACTTAACAACCGTGTTATTAACTTAACTACTGCAGGGATTCGTTTAACAACTGCGGCAAAAAAAATTGTAAAATGTGGCAAAGCTCAACTTAACAAATGTCTCACTTAGCAATAGAAATTTTGGGCTCAGTGGTGATCCTAAGTCGAGGATTACCTATACTTTTTTCCTGAGTAAATTTCATTTAGTTAAACTAAACTAACTTTCAAATGAAGTTACGTGTGATTTTAGTTTTGCTTCTTAAATTGCCGATCAAGTTTCATGGGTGAAAACTTCCGATACTTTCTATCAGGCAAGGTCATTAAAATGATATTCCTCACAATTATATATCCTGGTCACAAGCCTTTGACATTATACTATGGTATAATAACTAAGAGCTACAGTCAATTTACAAGTGATAAGTATAAGACAACTATAAAATATGATAAAACAGTTGCTCATCTGCAGTTCTAAAATTATATTAAATCTGTCAGTGTTGCTTTTCTGTCATTGGTTTGACATATACTCGGATACTGCAGATTGATGCCGGTCATTTGCTCTCTATAGGTAGTTCTCAAAATACGACATTTCTTTATTGAAGAAACGTGGCTTTCTGTGGGCGTGAGGAGGTTAAAGGCTTTGAGAAACTCGAAGCTGCTGCCTTAACATACAAAGTCTGGTTTCCACACAGCTTAGAAAGAGCCAGCCATCTGATTGGCGCAGAAAGCTCTGAATATGGGTCCTTTTTTGTCCCATAAAGGCAGGGGCATCTTGGCAGGAGGAAGGGCAACGACAGAATGCACCCAGCATTTTCCTTTCTCGTTGTTTTTTTTGCTGGCAAGACAGTCAGCTGTGTGGCAGGCTCGCATGTGCACTCCCCCACCCCTGAGCTCCACTTAATGACTCGCACTTTGAAGAGCAGGGATATTTGGTTGTTACATGAAGCAGTTCATTTAACATTTGCCATGACTTCCAACCCTAATGGGCAGGCTGCATTATAAGACTGCTTGTATTTATTTATTTATTTATTTATTTATCTTGTATGCCGCCCACTCCCGGAGGACTCCGGGCGGCTCACAACAGACAAGGGAAGGGGGATAAATAGACAAAGCAACACTTTAAAAAAAGACGCAACATTCACAATTTCT